TTATGTTATTGGATATGGTAACATGAGTGCATGTGCGCCGCATCATTACAATGTCTATAATGTTAGCCAGGCACGGCTGAAAGGTCAATACAATAAAAATAATGTATAATGTTATGAGATTTAAGCTATTTAGTCTAAACATTGATGTTTTTGTGTTATAATTTGTAGTTATTGTAGAATGAATGAAGCATAATTAATATTTATTTCCAAATTTTTTATGTTGGTTGTTGTTTTTTGTTATTAAGCACAAAGCTACACAATGGGCTGTCTGTGCTCTGTCCACCACGGGTATCTAAACCCGGTTTCTAGCAGTATAAGTCCGCAGACATACCACTGTGCAACTGGGGAGCATTTTTATGTTGGTTACGAGATCGGTCAAATCTATCGAACCCGTAGAGATTCATTAGTGAAAATAACAGATAAAATGTATAGTTTTTTCTTAAGAAATATTTGATAACTATCTGGACATTATAAAGATTTTACATATGAAATTTGAAAATTTTCTGATGCATAAAAATATTTTTCATCTTTGCATGTTGGATAGGTAAAAAGTGAAAATAAAAAAGAAGGTATGAGAAATTTTGGATAACAAACTTTGGGAATTAATGTTTCGCGTACGAAAGCATTGTAATGTTAACTGATAATCTGCCAAATTTCGTTAACATTTGCTTACTAATTTAAAAGTTATAGCATGAAAACTATAACAAGCACACAATGGTTATGAGGTCGATCTGACGGACCGAGCCTGTGTTGAAAGAGTTAATTAAATCAAAACATCAAATAGATTAGCACATGACTTATAAAAACGATTAATAACAGGGAGAACAGCAAACGTTTCGGCGGTATTTTCAGCAATTTTACACTCATCAGTAACGGGGATAGGGAGAAGTTTAATCAGCTGGGATGGGCGGGGGGGGGACGGACACAACTAATTCTATAGTAATATTATTACTAGAGTTCTATGTTTTTGTGTTGTTGTAGATTTCTTGTGGAATTTTTCTTGGAGTTTATTTTACTCTAACGTTAGCTCCTGTTGTTTATTAAACATCTCGCAACTGTAGAAGACTTAGGTAATTAAGCCAAAAGCTTGTGCATTAACAAAACTAAAAAAAAAAAAACGTGGCGATAGTCCAAATATATTACTTAATACAAAGAACATTTTTTCTCTGCAGGGCACCTTCTTATGTACTTAGTCTATATACGTTCATTACATCAACACCCACGATATATAACTGTATAATATACTAGGATTAATCAGTCCAGTAAGGTCAATGGGAGCACCTTCTAATGTACTTAGTCTATACATGTTCATTACATCAACACCCACGATGTATAACTGTATAATATACTAGGATTAATCAGTCCAGTAAGGTCAATGGGAGCACCTTCTTATGTACTTAGTGTATACATGTTCATTACATCAACACCCACGATGTATAATTGTATAATATACACTGAGTGGTCACAAGTAAATAGACACCTAATTTTTCGTCATTTAACTGATTTATGCTAACTAATTTGTGT